TGGCTTTTTTGGTATTTTTAAACATCAGAATCACTTTGCTGTTTAAAATTATCATAGTATATCTTATTATATAAGTTGTGATTTTTTCATATAGTGACATAGCTAATATTACTTTTAGATTTTAATTTCGTATTCCCAAAAGAAATATCTAAATGCTTCACACTCGAGATAGTATTCCGGTCGACGAGCAATTTTCCACAGATTTTCCGCGTTTTTAAATAGACGTAGCATTTTTTAATTACTTTACATTCTGAAAATATATAATACCCATTCGATATCCATCTCTAACATTGGAATATTCACTGATCATTTTCCTTTATATGTGAGTAGCTTCCGGTACATTTTTAACCCGAATTTTTTTCACTGGGAGTCGAGCCTAGGAACGGCGTTAAAACAGGCATCTCCTGGATAGGCGTGCTGTCAAGTAGGCCACATCTCTCTTAACATCAGGTGGGAATGGCCAAACGTCTGTATAGTTCTGTAGAAGATGAGGTTAGATCAGATTCAAGGCAAGCTAGAAAAAACAAGTATGGTGGAGGCGTGAATAGGCGGTGAATAGGTGTATCAAGATTGTTTGTGGTCTCTGTTTACCCCTCATCAGACGTAGACACATACACAATTTCATTACTGTTAATAATTACGAAGACTCTTGTATGTCAACATAACATTGAGCTTCTTTGCACTTATTACATCACAGCAAATATTTTAATAAAAATTCCCTTTTGCCTTACAGAATTTTAATAAGAAATTCAATATTTCAAAGTGTCTATTACGAAAAATGAAAAGCATGCCCTACTTCTATCGGTTTCGCTTGATAGAGGAACAATCTAGGTTTTTCATACAAATATCTAAATCTTTCATTCGTAATATTCCGGCCGTCGAGCGCGCGGCGGAGCTTTATTTCCGCGCTAGGGGATCTCGCGGTCAGCGTTTAGGATCATTTTGAGATGTTATTAAGAGAAGAAAGATATTCGATTTTAATCAAACAATGACAGTATGTTGCTTGGTCCACTATTTTTGTTTTGCCTTAGTTTCCTGATAATTGCTATGTGTGTACCTTTCCTTTTTTGTTAAAAATGTGACGAACGATGTTTAAGGACAAAATAATAATAATATAAACCATTATTAACGTTACATATATTCTCTAAGTTAAAGGATATAATAATAATCATTTGCAAACTCCGTTTAGGTGTTTTGCAGAGAGATCTTTTTTTTTTAGTTATAACACACATTACATCACATTACACATTAATTCAAATATCCAAAAACAGACACCTATTTTTGGATATTTGAATTAATATATACGGTTTCCTTCTAGTTTTTGTTCTAGACCTTAGATTATAATAGACCTTTTGATGTACTTGTGTCGTGATCACTTGTTTTTTTTAAATGCATGTGAGTGGGTGTTTTCTGTCTTGTCTTCTCAGTCGTACCAGCAAGTGTAAAATGTGCAGATAGACAGAAAGTGCAAGACAAGTTGATGCACAGTCGGGGATCGAACCTACGACGTCAAGAATGAGTGTCTACAAAAAAAGTACAAAAATAGGCAAAGTTTTGTATACATATTTGTGTAGTTTCAATTGAAATATTTTACAGAAACAACAGTTTTAGAATTTTGAATTTCCAGAACTTAATTTAAATTGGTAATTAGAAACCGATAATTGATTTCACCTGTTCGTGGAACTACAATTAGTGAGTTAATCAACGGTTGATTGGTGATGTTAGGATTTCATTGACATGTAAAATAATCTTAAGAGTATTTGCATATCTTCCGGTCGGGATGGGACACGTCTTACTTTCTTAACTTTATAAATCAATTAAAAATCATTTTGTGATTCACTTTTTACCCAGAAAATGTATCCCTGCTCTAGAATACAATTAGTACATACTATATTCGACATATTAAAATATATTATTGCCGTTACCAGTATTACAGTTATTATTTATTTATTCTAAATGAATTGATGAGTCGTCTAGTTACTAGTTACCTTATGTTATAGATATATATAACATAAAGTACGTTCAGTTCCACAACCGAGCGTGTTTAGGCAGTTTTTGCCGCGCACCATAGCTGCCCACTGCATTATTTCCGAACCAATTCGACTTAGGGTCCTTCAAGAATAGAGCGTACCAATTCTTAAAAGGCCGGCAACGCACTTACGAGCCTTGTGGCAAAGTAAGTGTCCATGGGCAAGAAAAACATAGTGAGGAAACTGACTTGCCTTATACCTGACTTGCCTATATTACTGAGGTGCAACGTATGCAGCTCTACAAAGCTCAAGTACGACCTCATATGGAATACTGCTCGCATCTCTGGGCCGGTGCTCCCAAATACCAGCTTCTTCCTTTTGACCAAATTCAGCGAAGGGCTTGTCGAATTGTCAATCTCCAATGTCTTACTGATCGGCTTGATTCTCTCTCGCTACGCAGAGACATTGCGTCTCTTTGCGTTTTTTACAAAGCTTATTACGGAGAGTGTTCGGAAGAATTGTTTGGGTTGATCCCTCCTGCCTCTTTTCAACACCGTACGAGCCGAACGACCTCTAAATTTCACCAGCATCATCTTGATGGTTGGAGGTCTTCCACGGTCCACTTCACAAGGCATTTTCTTTTGCGAACTAGCGAACTGTGGAATCGGCTCCCGGGGGGGGTCTTCCCTCAGAGATACGACCTCCAAATGTTCAAAAAGCGAGCCTACTCCTCCCTCAAAGGCCGGCAACGCACCCACTAAAAATGGGTGTCTATGGGCTGCGTAGACTGCCCTTTTTGGTCGTCCCGCAAGCTCGTTTGCCCCCCTATTATATATAAAAAAAAAAAAACCTAAAAATTCGACTATTAGACTATAATTGACAAATGATCATGAAACATACACAGAAATCTAAGGCTCAGACCTAAAAAAGGTTGTAGCGCCACTGGTTTATTTTATTTGTTTAATCTAGTTAATACCTACGAACACAATTGTTCTCAACGAATTTCCATCTGATCAACCCAATTTGTTAGTTCTACGCCCTACTTATAGTTAAGGCTAAATCACGAAAGCAGTGAGGCGAAAGAGCTCGATTTGAGCAAACTGCTTGCATGAGCGATGCTTGATATCGATTGCGAAACCGTTATTTAATGACGTAATGTCGTACTGGCTTCCGTGTCAGCCGTTAATTATGACGCACAGGGCTCTAACGATCGGCTGTAATGGATTTGAACGCGTTTTTTAATTGTAAGTAGTGTTCTCGGTTACAAAGCAAAGAGCAGTAGTACTAAGTTTCAGTGCGAGTTACCAAGAATAACAATATGCAAAACTATACACACTATTCTTCAGCTTTTTAAAGTCGTCTATAAAAATATCTGCGTTGCGCTAGTTATGAAACCCAACGTTTATAGTTAAGTTACATATACAGATATATTTCAGTTAATAATAAAAAGCGCAAATCAACAATCATCTTACACTTGTAGCCAATACATTGTAAAACGTCAGTTTTGGTAGTAATCAATTATCCTTATACTTTTTCATACGTTATAACCTTCTCGTGTCCGAGAATGTACAATAGGTCGACATCACTTATATCCTTTATAGGTAACAGATGTTACTATAAAGGATATAAGTGATAAAAATACTTTAAGAATCCATTAATAAGTAAAGGAGTGTCACTTATACGTGTTAAAATTTAAAATAATCTGAATTAAATTTTTGTTAGCCCAGCGTCACATCCGCTACACCTAAATGTGTGTATAAGGCTTTCTTTTCAACGATTAAAGACAGTTGACACTTAGCTTCGACCAGAGTGTGACTTCGTCAGTATAAATTATTAATGCGTCAATCAATAAAATAATACTATAGCGATAAAAGGTAATGATGAGTCTACCAAAGTTCATTTCTTTATATGAAATGTGTATATGTTAGCAATTATTTATATCTCCTCCTTAGCGTAGAACTAAGGCAAAATATAATGAATAAGCATCGTGACCCGCCTCTCGTTTGACCTATATGTAGCGTAAACAAGCGTAGGATTTGCATGATAATAATGTTTACAAAGACCACCATTTAGCATAGTAAGTTTGTGCTTAGCATACGTAAATATAGTCAGAGTTGGCAACTAACTCGTAATTTATTCGATCCTGGTTCTTAAATCTGTGTTCACTTTAACCGACACATAATTAAATTACCTTAATCATAAAAGAATCAATCTGGTATTAAGATATCCCTCAGTCAAGGCAATAAACTACATGAACTAGAAATTAGCTTTAGTCAAAAAAAAAGTACAAAAATCATTTATTAATGTAGGTATGTAACACAATGTACAATTATGAACATCAAAAAGAAATACATATTAAATGCTTTTAATTTGACATTTACTGCCAGTTCTCAAATCAAGGGCGTAGAACGGAAGAGAAGAACTGGCAAAAAACTTTCCGCCAATCTTTTTAATCGCCAATTTTTTTTGTTTTACACAACGTTTGTAAAGAGCTGCAACCATTACACCATGTTCCATATGACATTTTAAGTAATTAATAGTTAATTAATAATAATAAAAAATACTTAATTTTTACAACTTATACTAACACAACTAATACTCATATTGAGAAATATTAACTAACTAATTTTTGTATGGATTCATTAATAAAGCTCTAATAATAATAATTATAAAATATATTTTACTAAAGCACTCATTTGTCTCTGATTACATAGCATTAGATAAAATTTTAGAAGCAAATTTAATTTGTCTGAATGGAAGCTAAATATTCTTTTAAGTTTCGTTATTATGAGATGTATAATCTTTTTATTCAAAAAGTATAGCAGTTGAAAAGCATACAAAAAATCTTATTCTATACAAACTATTAACTGCTATCTATAATAAAAGTACAATAATTACGTATAACAGTTCCTTCTCTTGACCACTTATGTAGCCTTGGTAATTTAGTTGTCTGGAGATATTGCAACTTCCTGACAGACCCGTTAAAACGCTTTTATATTTATTATATATGTTATATTTTTTGCGTTTCAGATCACGATCCCGTTCACGGTCGCGGTCAGTGACTCCAAGTGGTTCCCCACCACCATTACCACCAGTACAACCTCCACCGCCACCACCACATACATTACATCCTGATAATGCTTTAGGTATGTATTACTAAGATTAAGCTATTTGATATCTAAATTAAAGTTAAAGTCAAATGATTTATTTCAATTAGGCCTATTTAAAACCAACTTTTGAAAGTCATACTTCAAAGATAAACATAAAAAATGAATGTAGTTGCTCCTTCCAAATGGAGAAAAACGGACACGAAACTTCTTACTCTTTTAAAATTGGTTTTTACAATATTCTGTATACATTGATTTGATAATTATATGTGAAAATCATGTACTTAGAATTAAAAAAAACTTCTATACAAAAATAAAATAGGCGCATGGTGTTATAAAAAACAATGCAGCAGCTAACTAAATTTTTTAGTAGATACATGGTGCTCACATTTTCTCAAATATTACAACTATAGATTTTCTTTATAAAAAAAGAAATAATGATGTTTTGGCTTCATACAAAATTTATTGAATATAAGCCATTTTGACAATATTATTGATACATATCATAATTAAACAATCGCTTTATTTATATACTTTATTAAACTTTATTAATAATTAATAATAAACTTGACAATAAGCATAAAGCTATGTATTATACTGAGAGACTGGTGCTTGAAAAAGGTTGGGAAAACCTGTTATTACAAGTCACCAGTCCCTCTTGAACATAGTGGCAAAAAGTATTGCTAATACAAGTTTTAAAAACGAACGAACAATAAATAATTTATAAAAATATATATATAAAAAAATAAAAAAAAATAGATAGAAAAAAGTTAAAGCATTTGTGAGTGAGTGTGTGTGTGAGTGTACGGGTCAGTGTGAGTGCGTGTGTGTGTGCGAGTGAGCTAAATTGAGACTAGTGTGGGCGAGAAAAACGTTCCATTTATTAAATTAAATTAGGGGTCGTAATAGATTTTCTGTGCTTTGGTAATCTAGCGATTTGAGATATTTAGTTACTACTTTTTTACAATTAAATTATAAATTAAAAAGTATCTGAGTATTTACAGGAGTAAGTAAATCTCCTTACTACTTTTAGTAATTTAATAAAATTTTGTAAGCAATTAATCTCACCAAAAATATAATTTTAGACTAAAATGTTTTAATGTAATTGTGTTAATACGTAAAATGTAGTTTAAATGTACATATATTTTAATCAGGTTTTTACAAAAAGTTCCATTTATCCAATATCAGGCCGTGGTGCACTAAGTGTCGCTGGGAGACAGCTTAGTGACCACAGCAACAATAGGGAATCCTCTCTTGACGATTCTGGAGTGGTGGATGATCATGACGATGGAGAGCACACGTCTGATGATCAAGCACCTCATTCGCTGCCAAGAAGACATTTGCTCCCACCTCCGCCTCACCCGCCTATCACTGTTACAATGAAACTGGTAATTAAATTATAAAAATAATATAATTATTTCCTTCATTATTACATATGGCACACATTTCCAATTTAGTTTTTCCATAGTTCCAAAAAGAAGATCTAAACTAGACATAGTTAAAATTTACATTGGTTTGAAGCCTACAAATAATAAAATTAAAGCATTACACTTACTAGGTAAACTTAATTAAAATTGATAATTAAAATTTATAAAAAATATTTATTAACTTTTATTCTATTGACGTCTATAAACCTCTTTACTCTTGACGATATTATTTTGGCAATTATTACTGATTAAATAAAAAATATGCAAACTATTTCCAGGAAACAAAGAACCCGGAATCCAAGAAAAAGAACGGCGCAAAATCTGAAACGGAAATTGATATAGCGAAAAAAGAGAGATGTAGCATTCAAGAACGGTATCCATTGAATCCCGACTACCTCAACCAGATCGTGGTACTAGGTAAAAATTTTAAATACTATTTCAAAATATAATATTGCTACCAAATAACTTTCTTAATTTTACAAGTTCTTTATGTCGAATTTTTCGCCTCTTATCCTCCAAATCTTCCCTCCTTAAGAATAATTTAAAATCTCGGCTGGAGTCTATGTAATAATTTGGTAGCATTATCAAAATTATTTCCTTCAATAAATTGGCACGGCTTCAACACTAATGAGCACAATGAAGAAGACACAAAGTGAGCGCTTCGCAACCACCCAAAGGACCATGAGAACTTTAAATTCTCTTAATATTTACTTCTTGATAGTTTTAAAGTAGGTACCTTTTTTAAATGCATGTCACAACGACTTTTTCTACTTCAAAGTTTCGACTTAGGACTATTAGGTTTTGTTCCTTGCTTGAACTCTTAAATGCATACAATTCATGTACAGACCTTATCTTTCTCAGATTTAAAGTATTTTGATTGATCTATTTCTAATCACTCTTTTATTTATATCTGCAATCAGATGATATTTTCTTTGGATTTATGAAGCACTGTGTAAGAACTTATTTTAGTTATTAAATTTTAAAATAACGCCGTTTGTTTTTGGTTCCATCCATTATCAAGCGGCGTCTTTGGTGGCCAAATATATTAATATTTAATGTCACGTTACCTACCGAAGTTCTAGGAACTGTTCGTTTGCAAATTAACAGCTACACAGTAAAGCAGCCACGTTTCTAACCGTTCCGTTTAATTTGATTTGGGAAAATATTTCATAAAGGCACATCACAGTCATTTGCATGGATTGTGTACGGTTACATGATAGTTTAAACGTTTCGTTGAAATATTATCCGAGATCTATTACCCAGTCTAAAAATTTTGGCTCAAATTATCCGCTATTTAATTGGCGCTGTAAACTATGAATGGTTGTCTAGTGGCTGGTAATCACCATTAGCTTCACTTTCCATGGGCTGGACGTCCGTTGGACTTAAATGACACTTTGCAATTTCGCTTCTACCTCATTAATATCGTCAGGGGCGGACTGGCCATACAAACACGCGCCCGAACTCCCGCAAGCGGAGGCGACGAAAATTAATGAGCTCAGTTTATTGGCAGCCACGCACAAAACTCATATGGGCAATTACGAGCAAAATTGCACTTATTTCACAGGTTAGTAAATCACAGACGCCAATGCTTCAGCCCCCCAGTCCACCCCTGTTCCTAACGGGAAGACTGCAGGGTGATGGTGGTCATTGGTTAATTGGTGTTCAGTGTTCGGATCGCATTCAAGTGTTAGAGAACTTCTATGCGATTCATGAGTGTTCGTTTTGATATAATCCAGAAGAAATTTGATGTTGTACATTTCCTGCGTTTTTCCTCTACCTTTGTATGCATGCTCTTTTTCACTTTCTAGATTTGAATACGCTTCTGCATTGTACTTATCTTGGCTTCACGACGCTTCGCTCTTCCTGTATCCATTGTGGTGTGTATTGCTTGATCTTTATCGTGGTTTCTTATTAACATTTAACATATTGATCACAGATGAACTCGTGGATAGAAATTGTGAGTGCTGCGTCACATGTTGTATAGACTATGAGGGTTGGCTGCAATTCCAGAATGGATTGTATGGTATTGTGAAAGACCCTTTATTCGAGTTGTTCATTACAACTTGTATAATTCTAAATACACTCTTTCTTGCTTTAGAACACCATGGGATGAGTGAGAATGTTAGACAAGCTTTAGATATAGGGAATAAGGTAAGAAAAGTTAACATCATATTTTGCTAATATTTCCTGGAATTCTAAAACTGTCTTTCTCTTGACTTTTTTAAGTAAATACATAAATATTAGGTCCTTACATATGAAATTTACGTTTTGTCGTACCGGCGCCTTTGACCACACATTGCACAACAGATTGCTACCAAATGAGAGAAGCTTCAATTGGAATGTCTAAGACATCCACCATAATCCCCGGACCTTTATCTAACAGATTACCCTTTTTTAGAAATTTGGATAACTTCTTGCAAGGTAAAAAATTAAACTCTAATGGGGCAGTCGGAACCGCCTTCAAAGATTTCATTGATTCCCGTCCGAATGCTTTTTTTAATAAAGGAATCAATGAACTATCTATATGATGGCAAAAGTGCATAGATAGCAATGGTACATACCTTGATTAATAAAATATATTCTATATAAACAAATCTACTTTTTGTTCCTCCCATACAATTTCAAATGTAAGGACCTAATATGATAATAAATTACGCTTTCTAAGATCAGCTTTCACTAAAACTGGCTCTTATATGATACTTCTTTGTTCGCAGGTGTTTACTTCTATTTTTTCTTTAGAGTGTATTATGAAAGTGATGGCAATGAGCAAAGATTACTTTGCGTGTGGTTGGAATATATTTGATTTGATCATTGTATCGGCCAGTCTTTTAGATCTAATCTTTGAACTTGTGGATGGGCTGTCTGTTTTGAGAGGTTTGCGATTGGTACGTATTTAAAATATGTATATTTAAATAAAACTAAAATAAAATATGTTTATTATGGAATATAAGACAAAGGTATCACTTATACGTCATTAAATATGTATCGGTAGACATCCCTACTCATCGGCAAAGAAGACAGAGCTGGTAGGCCGAGAGAAAAAGCCGGCGTATAAAACTCTCGGTACTCTTTTAAAATGTTAAATCATCAAAGACAAATAAAGGAATTTTACATTTATACTGATCAATGTCCATCTTTAGCGCGCTACATTTTATTTAAAGAAGGAAGTTAAAATGTGTATTTGTTTAATTTAGACTTCGTCAGGACGAAAATTTATAATTTCAACATTTTAATTCTTTAGTAACGCGAATCTAAAATCGACTTTTAAACTTCGTATTTATTCGCACACATTCACGGTGATATTTTCTTTTACAGTTACGAGTATTAAAGTTAGCTCAATCATGGACAACAATGAAAGTATTGTTGAGTATAATAATATCAACTATAGGTGCTCTCGGAAACCTTACTTTCGTGTTAGTTATAGTGATATACATATTCGCCGTTATCGGTATGCAGTTGTTTTCAAAATCATATACACCGGATAAGTTTGACCCAGACCCAGTGCCAAGGTAATTATTAATATATTTTTAATTCTTTTCTTTTAAAATACTAGCACGGATATGCAAAATGAAATATACTTATTATTATTTTTTTATTGTTTTCCTAAAAAAATTGCACAGACATGAAAAATTAAATAAAATTATTAATATATTTTTTTATTATTTTCCGGTACTATTACAGATATGCAACATCAAATATAACTATTCATATATTTAATCATAACACAATTTATATTTGAGGTTATACATACCAATGGCGCTAGAAACTTTTAGGTCTGTGCCTCATTACTGTATCCGTTCCGTGATCATATCTAATAGACAAGTAAGACACCTTCTGTGTCTGAAACACACCGCTGACTTTTTGGGTCTAATGCCGGTTTCCTCATGATGTTTTTACTTCACCATACGAGCGAGTATTAAATACGCACAAAGGCAGAAAGTCCATTGGTGCACAGCCGGGGATCGAACCTTCGACCCCAGGGGTGAGAGTCTCACTTTGATACCAGGCAGTGTGCTCACAATATTTGAAGTTACTTCACCCTTATTCAGCAACACATAGGTTTAAGTTTCAAAGCCTTTCTCGCTAATAACACTAAAATAACATTTACAGGTGGAACTTCAACGATTTTTTTCATTCATTCATGATGATTTTTCGAATTCTCTGTGGTGAGTGGATAGAGCCTCTATGGGACTGTATGAGAGCGGAGCAGGCAAGCGGTGCCGAAAGCTGTTTCTTTATATTCCTTCCCGCACTTGTTATGGGCAATTTCATGGTACTAAATCTCTTTCTTGCCTTGCTGCTCAATAGTTTTAACAGCGAAGAGTTGAAGAATAGGAAAGAAGTGAGTTTTATAATAGATTTTTCATAATGAAATACTTAAATTTGATAAACGCAATTAATTGAATGTTTTATGAAAATACTCTCGTAACAACTGGGAATTCAATCGCATTAAATCCTAAAAAGTAACCAACATATATTTCTTGCCATATAAGGCCAATTATAATTACTTCCATTGGTACAACTGTAGCTCGAACGCCGAATTTCAAGTTCTTGAAAACAATAAAATGCTGCTAATAAATTGTTGTTAAAAAAAAATATTTGCAACGTGGCAAATTTATATTAGTATAACAAAAATTTAAATTTTAGGAAGTCGGAGAGGATTCAAAGTTAGCCAAAAGTTTCGATAGATTACGTTCAATAGTGAGAAAAAAAGGTTTCCTTATATCCAAAAGTAAAGAGACTGAGAAGAAATCCAAGTTAGAAGAGTTAGTCAACGAATTCATGTTGCAACATCGCACCATGAAGGAGGCAAAAACCTCAATTCCAAGTGAACAGCGCTTTTCGGGGTCCATTCAGGAAACCATACTATTTCCCCACGACAATATCTATAGTCATAGTTATCAGGAAGCACTTAACAGGTAACAATTATATTTAATATAAACCAATGCTCATTGCTCATTCATTAGTCATAAGTAACTATAAAATTCGTTACCTTTTAATCTCGTGTAAAACGTAACTAAACCTCTTTAACTAATAAAAGCTTATAGCATGTTTATGATAATTTATTTACTAAAGTACACCACATCATATATAAAGCATAGTTTACAGTATATGTAACATACAATCTATCTATTCGAAAATACATGATAATTTCGGTGAACATAAATTAGTACGCTTAACAATGCGGGTACCTACTCGATAGGCACTTGGCAACGCTTTATTTTTAAATTGATCGTTTATTCTGTTGTACTCGGGAAATAGAATAATTAACGGCATATAGACCGTACTTAACTAATGGATAGAAATAGATTTTATTTATAAATGACGCGTTGGTATCAGTTCGTAGTACCTAGATCTTAAAAATATTAGAATTAAAATTAAGTCTTGTTTGCAATGTAATTTGCTGTGTTTTATAAATTATTTTATTGCAAAATAAACATTTAAAATTGGATTTTACGTGAACCAAATACAAAAAATTACGGGATAACATTAACTCAAACTTAAAATATCTTTATTCATGTAGGTATACAAGTACACTTATGAATTGTCAGAAAGGAATTAAATTAATTGTAAATTTACATTTACTACCAGTTCGCAAGTCAAGGGCGTAGAGCGGGAAAGAAGAACTGGCTACTTATTAAAAGTAGTGGCGCTACAACCCATATGATCTTGCAGCCTTCTGTTTCTGAGACACGCCGTCGATTTTAGTTCTAAGTAGTGCCGCTTTCCTCACGATGTATCTTCACATAGACAGACAAGTCTAAAAGTTCGACCTCATGGTTTAAGGCACACGCTCAAGCCACTAAACCAACACTGCAGACAGTATTATTATATTTTCTATTTAACATATTTGTTACAGGCCTATCTCTGTAGGATCCGATTTCGCGTATCCCAATCTCTACCAAATGGGTAACCATGGCAGCCAAGAAACGCTAAAGGATGTACGGGATTTGGCGACTGAACATAAAATAACCAGTATCAGAGAGGATTCAAAGGAGAACCTCGATGATACGACAGACCAAGTTGCCGCTCAGAGGCTTCTCAATCAGATGTCTTCGGGATATCACACACAACCGTCTGATTCAAGGGGTAACATGACATAAAATTGGCGCTACCTTGGCCACAGATTATACACTTTTGATTAAACACTGCTTTATTTGGGTGGATTATTGGGTCATGTTAGTTTCCTCATCCATCCATTCCGCTTTAACCACTGGGTCTATACTGCTCACTAATTGGATATTGGAGCTATTTTTGAGTCTGATACTGAATAGAGTAAGAGCAACTTTTGAAGTTAATCCGACCAAATTTAGAGTTCAATTCGATTTAGGTTGGATTACTTTATACTACATAGGCGTTTATTTTGACAAATTCGTAGTAAATTTGTCGTAAAAATATAATAATATTCGCTTGTAAAATAAACCATGCTGGTAATTAAATTATATATGGTGAATTTGGCTTTTATGGTAATCAGGCTTTTGCCGCGAATTTTTTCGCTACAAATATATGATGAAGGAAGCTAATGTATGCCTTATATAGACTAAAGTTTTTATTTAAACAAAATTTATATGAATCGATAAATTTAACACACGAAATAGTATATAAAATAATATCTAAAAAACAGTATATAAATAGTAAAAAATAGTATGTAAAATAAAAAAATTGTATTTAAAATAAAAAAATAGTATATAAATAGTACAACTAATATTTTAGACGACAATGAACACTACGAAATGACCCAAATATCGTGCAAGACTACACCGGAGAAATCCCGACGGCAAGAGTTAGCAAAATTTACCAGAGACATTAAGAAGCCCGGCGAAGAGGACATGAAGCGTCCCTGGCAAACCCTGGTCTCATACGTAGATGAGTTAACCGTGGGTGGAAGGAAGAACTCACAAGGACAGTACACTGACGCGATGGGAAAATTTCCAGGATTTGGAAAACGGAAAGAACCAAAAGATCCAGAAAATTGCTTTCCACGTCAATGTTATAAAGCGTAAGTCAAACATATTTCTACTTGTATATAAAACCAGGGGCGTTGGCTTAAAAAGGCTTCGTTGGTTGGTTTTAAAAGGCCGGCAACGCACTCGCGTGCTATTGCATAGAGCCTCCTGCCCGTTTGCCCCCTGCTCTATAAAAAAATGGTATATACTATACGTGTTTTACTTATTTGCTATATTCATAATATGTTCAAATGAGTTCTCATCAATTTGTCTTGAACATTTACTATTGCGCCTGACCACTAGATGGCGCTCTTACACGTTCCATACAAATATTTTACATAGACCGTTTAATATGTTTAGCATTTAGTATTTTAAGATGTTTTTATAATTTACAGGTGTTCGTGTTGGGACGCCTGCATACAAACAAAGTTAGGCCAGAAGTGGATGTTCATTCGCACATACATCCTTCGTTACGTGGACACACCCGCGTTCGAATGGTTCGTGTTGGTGCTCATCTTCGCGTCCAGCATCACTCTGTGTTTCGAAGACATCCATTTGGAGAAGAACATTCCACTCAAGAAAATATTGTACTGGACCAATCTCAGCTTCTGCATGATTTTCGTGATCGAGATGTTTTTCAAATGGATCGCTTTGGGGTTCTACAGATATTTTACGAGTTTCTGGACGCTATTAGATTTTACGATAGTTTTTGTGAGTATTCATATTTTTTAATCATTTAGTATGTTATGTGTATGTCGCAACCAATTAGCTTAATTAGCCGTTCAATCAACAGTTTAGCCTCTTAACTAAACAGCGTCGTTTAACTAGTGACCTGAAAGATATTCAGCCGTAACATTTGTAACAACATTTAATAAACTGGCTGGCTAATGCTTAGTCCATTCGTACGATAGAGCGATTATGTGGCATATCACTTAACATCAACCTCCGTGAACCTCCTGCCTGTTCATTAAAAAAAAAACTTAACGACTTAGGCAGGAGTAACTAAGGATTTTTTTTTTTTTTAAAGACAATTCACACCAATTGATCTAGTCCCATGCTAAGCTGGTGAAGCTTGTGTTATGGGTAGTAGGCAACGGATATACATACATATTATAGATAGATAGACATATAAATACATATTTGAACACCCAAGACCTAAGCACAACACCAAATGCTCATCACATCGATGTTCATCTCAGCCGGGGATCGAACCCGGGACCCATGGATTCGCAGTCAGGGGTACTAACCACTAGACCAATGAGTCGTCTAACGTCGTCTTATCGTCTAGTCGTCTTATTTTTTATTTATATTTGTATTTGCCATACTTTTAAATGTAGATATGTTTCGTATTTTATGTTTCAGCGTTTTTTTAACAATAACATCATGTTCCAGGTTTCAGTGTTTAGTTTATTGATAGAGGAGAATGAGAATTTAAAAGTGTTACGATCTTTAAGAACATTACGGGCCTTGAGACCTCTGAGAGCGATTTCAAGATGGCAAGGCATGAGGATTGTAGTTAATGCGCTAATGTATGCAATACCTAGTATTTTCAATGTACTACTGGTGTGTCTAGTGTTTTGGTTAATCTTTTCGATAATGGGAGTGCAGTTTTTTGGCGGGAAGTTTTTTAAATGTGTGGATGAGGACGGAGATTTGTTACCCTTAGAGGTATGTATAAATATAAATTACAGTCAAATCTGAGTAAGTGACAACTAAGCGAAAAAACTCTATTAATGAGAGTATAATATAACCTGTATAAGTGACAGTCATTTTTCGCGCGTGAACCTCTTTAAGTGAGATCGAATCTTGTCTATGTAGTGAGAAACCTCTATAAGAAAAAATGAGATCCGGTCCTTAGACCCTTACTTATTCAAGTTTGACTGTACATTTTGATGTTCACTGACCACTCATTCATGGCATATAACTGGTAATGGGTTGAATTTCCGTCGAAAAGAAACAATTAAATAGAAGTCTCTTATTTGGGCTTCAAATATATTTGGATATTAAAAGACGCAATTACTTTTTTCAAGTAATAGCAAAATGTTAATTTTGGCGAACGGCAAAATGCTTAATAATAATAATCAGTGGTGCTACAACCTTCTTTAGGTCTGGGCCTCAGATATTTGTATCTGTTTCATGATCATTTTTCAATCTAATAGGCAAGTAGGTGATCAGGCTCCTGACAAACGCCGTCGACTTTTAGGGTCTAAGACATGTAACGGTAATGTTAAATGCGCACATTGATAGAAAGTCTGTTTGTGCACAGCCGGGGATCGAACCTACTGCTATCGTAGCTTGATTACAACTTATAAAACTTATTAGGCTTGGTAATTCAATTTCAGAGAAAAGCTTTTTTATTAATTTATATTTTCAGATAGTTAATGACAAGTGGGAGTGTTATTATAACAACTTTTCATGGATAAATTCTAAGATATCTTTCGACCACGTTGGTATAGCATACTTAGCATTATTCCAAGTGGCAACTTTCGAGGGTTGGATGGAGGTAATGGCTGACGCAGTGGACGCCAGAGGAGTAGACCTTCAACCGGCGAGAGAAGCCAACATCTACGCCTACATTTACTTCATAATATTCATTGTATGCGGATCATTCTTCACACTTAATCTATTTATAGGAGTTATTATAGATAACTTCAATATGCTCAAAAAGAAGGTAAGCCAACTGTCAAATTGCCTGACGTTTGACGTTTGACATTTCTGATTAACCGCCCTCTTGTTATAGTACGAGGGAGGCGTGCTAGAGATGTTTCTGACGGAAAGCCAGAAGCATTATTACACCGCGATGAAGAAATTGGGCAGAAAAAAGCCACAGAAAGTAATAAAGAGGCCGAGGAATCAATTTTTAGCGATGTTTTACGATTTGTCGAATTCGCGTAGATTTGAAATAGCGATTTTCGTATTGATATTCTTGAATATGCTCACGATGGGCATAGAGCATTATGACCAACCGCATTCCGTTTTCTTCGTGCTAGAAGTTAGTAACGCGTTTTTTACAACGGTTTTCGGATTAGGTAAGTTATTTCGTATTGTATTTCATAAAAACTTTTGAAATTAAACATAAACTAGCGGATTCGACAGACGTTGTCCTGTACACACAAATTATTCTCAACTCCACTTGAACACACAAAAAATTTCATCCAAATTTGTCCAGCCGTTTAGGAGTTTAATTACGAACACATGCACAGAATATTTATATATATATACCAGGTGTTTATGTGCTGTTAAGATAAATTAGGTTATTTATAGATAAATAACCTAGTTACCAACTACAGCGCTATCTGCCGGGCTGATTTGTGAATCTAAACCAGCTAGGGCGCCACCCAAACGCATACAAAAGAATTCATTCAAATCGGTCCAGCCGCTTAAGAGGAGTTCAGTGACATACACACGTACAGTAAAATTATATATATAAAGAAGATAAGCAATATTTTTTCACTGATCAATATTTCCATTTAAGTTAAATTCATTATACATATCGGTCACTTTCTACATCCATTGCTGGAAGAAAATCCAAATAGTAAGTCTATTAACTAACATAGGCTAAGTGTATAATAACATAAATATTAAATATAGTTTAAAAAAACTATCGATAGACGAAAAATATGGCACAGAGCGCCCCACGCTTTTTCACAATAATACCAGTATTTTTTGTTCATTACCATTTTCAGCCTAAATTAGGAATTACTTTTTCACTTTTTAGTTTGATGTGCTTTAAAACGGTTTTTTAGTTTATTTATTTTCCACTTTTTAGTCCTAGCAGCAATACGTGTTGTCTCAATTTAATCGTATTGCTTTGTGGACTTATAAAAAATTTCATTGTTTTTTCGAGATAAACCTATGAAATTATTATATTGTCGCTGATTCTTTATAAGTGTACAAAGTTTGAATTAAATCTGTCCGTTAAAAGTGGGTCAAAATCGAGTCTGAAGGAGTCGGTTACATACATACAGGTGAAGCTAATATAAGCGTGTAAAAATAATAATAAAATACTAATACCCATCTAATTTATAATTGTTTTATAGTATGTAATGAAAATGGCTTTATTATTTTATCTATAAAGACGTTTTAAAATAGAAAAAATCGTGCTAAAACAACTGGCCAACAGAAGAATGATTTTCCTTGCGTTTGAGCATTAGGTATAAGTTTCATTAGTGAATGTTGTCAGTTCGATTATTCGATTACCAGGATATTACATTAGCCACAGTACTTGTCACAAATGAAATAGGACGACGGATGCTGTGATTCTCTATCTCAAGGTTTAAGGCACCTGTATCTTAATTATGATTTCAAATAACTCTATCAAAAGTAGCTTATCATTTAAACAAATCACACACCACTCGTCGAGCGATTTTGCTTATCTTGCCGAAGCCGCGTACAAATTATTTGAAGAGGTCTATTAAGTATGACGGTGTGCAATTATTTAATAAATTACCGTCTAATATTAGCGTGTTTAATCAATTTAAAATGTTCAAAAACATCAGAATGAGCCTAGAAGACTAAATTTAGGACAGCTGTCTGATGGCGACGTGCTCGTTCGTATTATAATACTCATGTAACATTTTCATTTTGTAACGAAAAATAAAGTCAGTGGCGGATTTACCAGCAGGCTGAGTAGGCTGGAGCCTAGGGCGGCAAATTTTAAGGGGCGGCAAATTTAGTTCATAAATTTTTTATTTCGGTTTAAAAATTAAAAAAAAATTATTATACACACACATAATACGAATTTCGAAAATTGGAGAGAAATTAAAATATTTAACAAAAATCGAAATATTCTCATATACAGTGCTAATTAATAAATATTTCAACATCTCTGCATGAACAATTCCTAAACGCTTTACTAATTATACATTAATGATTATGAACTTTTAGAATATCGCGATTCGATATTATAATCGAAATTTAGTAATTTTTACATATATTCTTCACTGATAACTGCTATAATTTTTTCTCCGTGTACCTAATAATTATGAGATCTGCTTACCCAATTCAATCGATAAAATATCGATGGTCTAATAAAAATACTGAATAAAATTGACTAATTTTTATTAAATAAAAAACTAGTTCAATATCTTACAGAGATCATATTAATCAAATAACTGATAGTTGAACGACTGTGACTTGACAATAAAAAAAATTCTTCCACAAAATATGAAGTGAGACAATTTGCTCATTAGAAAATTGATACATTTTATCAGTTAATTATTTTATTTGCAGTAAGAAAAAGTTTGGAAAATCCAAATGAGCAAGCCTCAAGCGCTCATGTCGTACACGAATTATTTAAATTAAATGTTTACATCAGTAGATTTGATAACTTTTTCGCAAAGCCAACTTTTTCAGAAAATGCCAATCGGAATGAATTAATTATAATAAGATAAAACAATACTCAGCTGCAATTTTTTATTCAACAGCTTCTCTCCAGTTAAACAAGTATATTAAAAAAATTGAAGTGAAAAAAATATTTTTTCGATTTATCGTGTTTACTGTGAACACGATCATCCAAAATCCATACGATATGGCATTAAAATTACTTCCTTTTAAATAAAAAATCATAACCGAAAAAAATAATTTTTATAAGCTCAGCGATCATTTTTCTTTCCGATAAGTTGCTTTTTAAATAATATTCATGTACATCATATTTGTTAGGTACGGTTTAATGTGAGAAAACATCGGATTTAGATTTTTAGGCAAGAGTAGAGCATACCTACTACGCGCTTCGCACTTAAGGCATGCAATTGCGTAGTCGTATTTGTATTGTACGGCCAGAACAAACGACATGACGATTCGGTAAGAGTGTCTGGCTGAATGGATAGCACAAGTGCAGCGCGATAGGGTTACTACGTGAGCCGAAGCGGGCTCCTGATGTATAAAAAAGTTATAAAGTTGGAATTTTATTGATAGAAAATTGATATGATTGTGGACTAAGATATCAAAATTTAGAGGCGGCAAAAATTGAATAGCCTACGGGCGGCAAATCTATAAATCCGCCACTGAATAAAGTTCTTTAAATGTTTTTCTCTTTCTTGCTTAATGCACATGGTCGAATAGCATTGGATTTATACAAGGGTAACTGTGAATACGTCTGCCCTATGCTCCATTGGGGAGGTGAATGGTGGGTTAAGATTTAATGTATATGTATTTTTTCAGAGGCAATAGTAAAAATTATAGGTCTAAGGTATCATTATTTCACGGTCCCGTGGAACGTATTCGACTTTCTTCTAGTCTTGGCCTCAATATTAGGTATATTAATGGAGGATATCATGATCGATTTACCGATATCGCCCACGCTTTTACGAGTAGTACGAGTTTTTCGCATAGGAAGAATTTTAAGACTGATTAAAGTGAGTAGCCCTTTTTTAAACTAAACCTTAGTAAGTTGACAGTTTTTCCGACGCACCATCACTATAAAGAACCACTGAAGTTTTCCGAACCAATTCGACTTAGAGTCTTTCAATAAAAGAGCGTACCAATTCCTTAAAAGCCGGCAACGGACTTTCAATGCTTTCTGGCAATGTGAATGTCCATGGGTTTTCTAAATAACTTTTTTTAAATGTAACAAACAAACGGGCAGGAGGCTCACGTGATGTTGAGTGCCGCCGCTCATAGACACTCACATTGCCAGAGGACTCGCAAGTGCGTTGCCAACCTTTTAAGAATCGGTACGCTCTTTTCTTAAAGGACCCTAAGTCGAATTAGTTAAGAAATAATTCAGTGGGCAGCTCTACATAATGATGGTGCGATGAAAACGCTTAGTTGTCCAACGTCCCATAATGAAATTTTTTTTGAAAAGGGCAAATCAATTTAGTTTTTTTAAACTATTTTCAGGCCGCTAAGGGCATTAGAAAACTACTATTCGCACTGGTCGTGTCTCTACCGGCCCTCTTCAACATCGGTGCCTTGCTATCATTGATAACGTTTATCTACGCTATCATCGGGATGTCTTTGTTCGGCCACGTGAAAGAGCAAGGTGCATTAGATGATATCGTCAATTTTCAAACGTTTGGTAGGAGTATGCAGTTACTTTTTCGGTGAGTTTTATTCTTATTTATTAAAGTACAACACATCATATATAATGCTTAATCTACAGTATATGTTACATACAGTCTATATATTTGAACAAATCTAAGCGTACGACCAACCAGGCTTCACAAGATAAACCACTCCTTATATGGACATTGTATTCGTTTTTACAACAAACTTCCAAGCGAAATTAGAGAATTATCGCTGAATAAATTTAAAACTCTCGTTAAACGTAAATTAATCAATACAGCTTTTCATAAATTTGAAAATTATTTAAATGATCCTAATCCTTGGGATTGATTTGCTCTAGTTCAAACAATTTGCGACTTTAAAGCTGGCGATTAGGCGAGGGTTTCTTGCCAGTTCTTCTTGCCCGCTCTACGCCCTTGACTTGGGAACTGCTAGTAAATGTAAATTTAGAATCAATAAACATCTTTTCTTTTGACGTTCATAAGTGTACTTGGTTACTTATATGAATAAAGTTATTTGCGTTTAAGTTTATTCTAAAATATATGATATTTATAACAAAAAATTAATTATGAAATTAATCGTTGAATTGATATGAAATTCTTAACGGTACGTAGTAAAATCCTCTCCATGAGAGACACTTGGCTTAACTTTTTTTATCATATTCCCAAAAAAACACATTTCCGAGTTTCATTTATTTTTTTACCTTTTCAGTCTAATGACATCAGCGGGATGGAACGATGTCCTAGAATCGCTTATGATTCAGCCCCCAGACTGCGAACTCGGTGATCACGGCCACTCAAATGGAAACTGCGGAAGCCCCCTCTTAGCGATCACATACTTCACTTCATTCATTATTATTAGCTATATGATTGTGATAAACATGTACATAGCGATAATTCTAGAGAATTTTAACCAAGCTCATCAAGAGGAAGAGATTGGTATAGTTGAAGATGACCTTGAAATGTTTTATATTCGATGGTCTAAGTAAGTATTAATGTAATCGTAATTTTATAAAAAATCTCCACATGCAAAAAATTTATGAAACACTAACATAGCCATCGCATAACAGTGTAATTTCCGTATCGCTATTATGCGATGAGTTCGCTACAACCTTTTTAGGTCTGCGCCTCAGATTTATGTATCTATTTCATGATCATTTGTTAATCTAAGAGGCAAGTAGGTGATCAGCCTCCTGTGAATGACGCATGCCGTCGACTTTTTGGTTCTAAGGCAACCGGTTTTCTCTCGATGTCTTTCTTCACCGTTCGAGCGAATGTTAAATGCGCACATAGACAGAAAGTCAGTTGGTGCACAGCCGGGGATCGAACCTACGACCTCAGGGATGACAGTCGCACGCTGAAGCTAGGCCAACACTGCTTTAACCCGTATTAATACTGTGGTCATAACTAAAAGTTAGGAAGCTGTAATATATAAAACAGCTGTCAATATATTATAGTCTGTCTATAGAAGTGTTTCCTAAGCTTTTTTGTGCCATGCCCCACAAAACTTTGCCTTTCTAAAATTATTTTGTCCACCTATGTAACATACATGATTTTTAATAGAATTGTTCATTTAAGAAACTTAAATGATAGGTAAGAATTTAGGAAATTCTTAACGAAACAATAAGTATATTTTCAAAACTTATCATTAACAACTGAAAGAATTTAAAAAACATCGAATAGTCCACCTCAAAATCAAATTGTGCCCCCGTGGGGCGTGGGCTCACGTTGGGAAACTCTGGTCTATAGTGACTTATGATTCGCGTGCGTTAGTCAATTTCTTAAACTGTTCTTAATAAATTTTACACAGAGAAATACATTAATAAAGCAAATTTCATATCTAAGAAATATATAACTATTTTGCGTATCAGTTAGGGCTAAACACAGTTCTAACCGGTTATATTAAATAACGAATGTTTCCAGGTACGACCCCCACGCAACACAATTCATAAGTTTTGCTCAACTTTCAGACTTTATAGCGTCTTTAGATCCCCCTCTAGGTATATCTAAACCAAATACAGTAGCGCTAGTCAGTTTTAACCTACCCATTGCAAGGGGTAACAAAATCCATTGTTTAGACATATTACATGCCCTTGTGAAGCATGTGTTAGGGCACGTGGAGGAAACAGATACATTCCGACAGCTTCAAGAGCAGATGGATATTAAGTTCAAGAAACAATTTCCGACAAGGAAGGAATTGGAAATCGTTTCTTCTACGAGAATATGGAAGAGGGAGGATAAGGCGGCGCGCACGGTGCAACGGACGTGGAGGGATTACCAGAAGTAAGTTTTATGATTGTATTTTATATAAAATAACTAATGTTTGACTGATTTAAAGAAGTCCCGACTCCTATTTATCAGTCTAGTCTAGTCAGTTTAGTCATAAAACAACATGTTTGCTTAAATATACAAAACATATGACTCAATAAATTTTATGCACACACAGTGTATCAATTACATATATTAAAACATAAAAATTTCTAACTAGAGTTATGTAAATTTTACGTTACGTTAGCTACAAACAAAGTGTTTTATTTATTTGAAAAGCCAACAACCCTACAACAACCGCCACGGAACTTAACTCTGGCAAGAAAAAAAAAAGCAAACAATATAGAACTAAAACTAAATAGAACTCAACCCTCATTAAGAGCATATACACAAAATTACAGTAGGTACGTAGGAAGATTGTTGTAAAATATATCAATATCATCAATATGTCGGTTTCATTGATGTTTATTAGATAGCAAGCGGTCCACCCTACAAAAGGAAAATACCGCTCTTCCTTCGACTGATCCTCGACCAGTCTGACCAGTGACTGGCCGGCCCAAAGGCTAAGGTCGGAAAGTTAAAAATATCTTTTACTGTCGGAATAACTTCCATAGAACGTTTCGGGGTACGACGCCATCGCAGTGATTGTAGAAGAAGATTGTAGGTAGCAACAGATGCAAAAACCTCCGATAAACATAAATATTAACGTATCGGAAAGCTCATTACAGACAACTATTTCAGGCGTAAAAATCGCAGCCCATCGCAAGAGGAGGAGAGTACTAAATGGTCACCCGGCGGTGGTTGGGGTGGCCGACTTAGTGCCTTGCTCCACGTACGAAGGGGATCACACGCTTCAAGCAGGAAGTCTTCTAGAGCCTCTGACGCCTCCGATATCAGCGAGATCGGAGGCGCATGGCTCAATCTGCCGCTATTATTACTACCTGGAGCGCCACCAGGTGACCAGGTAAACATAAAACATTAGGGAGTCGCATGTCAAGCTTCTAGGAGGTCTAGATCAGTTAGGTTTTAAAAGGTTTAGCATGGATCATGTAAAATTATCTGTGTCAATTAAAAGATGGTTTTGGGACATTAACTTGTAGTATATGTATTAAAACTAAAGCACCTTGCTTCCAATTCCCATACAACTTCACGTGTTTAAAAGTAGGAATTTCACACAAAGTCAAAACATTTATTCCAATAATTAGAACACCTAAAATGGCACTTTTAAACGATAAAATATAAAGATTTTAGTTACCCCTTCCAAAAGGTAGTTTCGTGTGGAGAAGAATGGGCAAGAAACTCCACACTTACTCTTTTAAATTAGGATTTACAATATTTTGTATACATTAGTTAAATAATTGTATGTGAAGACAATGTACTCCTAGAATAAAACTACTGTACTAAAATAGGCACAAAGTATTACTTACAAATGAAGCAATGCAGCGGATAGGTCAATTATTGTATTGTTAGTATACACGTTCCTCACATATTTACAAATATTGAAACCGTAGAATATTATAGGTACATTAAAGAGAAATAAAAAACAATGAATCAGTGTGTGAGATAAAAATAAAATAATTACAGTTTGTAGAATTATAAAATAACAAAAATATGTAACAGATCAGCAACCAATTTTATTTTGTCAAGGGAACTTATTGGAAGTCTTTCTATTCCTAAGTTTTTTGAAATGACTATACCAAGTAAATGCCTCAAAACCTAGTGTAAACGCTAGATCATTAGCATTTAGAATCATTTGTTTAATCGTCTCTAGGCTAGCGGTTCAGAGGGACCTCCCCCACGACGGAGGTCAGCGTACGGTTTGCCACTATTTCTTCGTCATCAAGACGCCGTAGATGAAGACGGTGGCCCGAAACGAGCAGGTTCATATGTAATGTTTGGCTTTTTGTGTCTTTCCTTATTGTAGCTTATTGCTGGACGATTTTTGCTCTACCATAAAATGCAGAATTTACTAAAAACAATGTGTCATTAAAAACTTTTATAAGACCGAAGAGAAAGTATTGCAAAAATTACCAGCACTATTTTAGCCTTTCTTCTTCTATCTACTATGTCGCCCTTTTAATGTTTAAGTGGTAAATGCTTATTTGTTTTATAAACACCCCCAGGTCGGGATTGATATTTGGCGCTGATCCCATATGCTTTGGATGTTTGCTTATTTTAAACCCTTGGTAAGCTTATAAGATGGGAAAATATTTAACATAACAATATCCATCATCCTGTCCTCTTTCTTGTCTCGCCTATTACATTTATAATACATCACATTAAAAGCTCTACACATACACAACTCTTACACCTAACACATAATTATTGAGGTGATAATTGCAGGTTCCCTTCGGTTAACGTCCCGAAATTCCGCGCGACGAGCCACAACCCCAGCGAGAGTTTGCACTCCATCGCCCAACGCGAACAGTTTAGTCAGTATTTTAGTCACCGAGGCGTCTCCGGACGCCGTCCCACCCCCTTCGGCACCCCCCACCGTCGTCAAAGTATTAGTACACAGAGAGAGCGACGAACAACCCAGCTGATCTACAACTGAAGAGCCGCCGGCTCCAAACTAGCCAATAAACACATAGTGAGTGTCAAAATCGAATATTGTGTTCAGACACGGGTATTTCAGTGATATAGATTTTATTTCGAATCGATAGACTAGCGACGTTAAAGTATTAAACAAATTTTAAGATTGACACAGAAACTTCCGAAATGCAATAATATAATTCGACGAGCAAATGCTTAGTTAGATGACTTTGTTGAAATTGTTTTGTCAGCTTTTAGAGATGCTGATTCGTTTGAGGCTGTTTTGATTGCGATAGTATAGTTGACAGTTGTTATTGTAAATATAATGTTTAAGCTGTGGCCGAAATTAAATAGCTTGTTTTTATTCATAACGCGTTAATAGTTAAACAGATGCCGTTCGAATCAGATAGTAGTTAAACCACAGGATTGCCTTAAAAATAGTTTTTAAAAGTTATAATGCAATTGCATGTTTAGTATCTACAGTTTCGAAATTCCCCGCCTTTACCTCGTCACATAATGCGAATTAAATTAACGTAAAGCCTTCTCTGCTGCCTGATTTAAAGTATATCGTGTAACGCATTGAAATTAATACATGATGAAAATAAAAATTCCATGATTGAAATTGCCCTTTTCTATCCAATGTAGCTTAAAACTAAGTGTTATCGTGAACTTAGTAACATTAGCAGGGCTTTGGAGTTTTAAACAATCTAACAAATTCTGTTTTTTTTCAAATTCAATGGAATTTGAAAAAATATAAATCAAGAGCAGCAGCGCAGCCTCCATTTTGATAGCTCAAATTGTAGAAATTACTTAATTTTAATAACAATAAACCGCACAAATTACGATTTATTAGAAATAGCTATAATAGTAATTAATTCAGATTAAGCTTACTTGTTAAAAGCACCTCGCAAACACGCTATATGTATATAAATCTGCAGTATGATTACGTTTGAATTGGTTAACCACAACACGGACAGTCTTAATTTTTTAATGTTAATTAAAGATAGCCCTTTAACTGACCTGCTAACTTCTTGAAATATTTTTAAATTTAAACAATATTTTACAACAAAAAAGATATATATATATATATATATATATATATATATATATATATATATATATATATATATATATATATATATATAACTAAAATAATATATCCGGCTCGAAGGATCAAAAGTACTTTAGTACTAAAGCAGCGACAACAAACTAAAGTAGACCGAGGGCAAGTGGAATGCGGCGTACAAAATATATGGAATCACCACTCATCGTTAGTCTGTGTCCGTTGCGTGAACAATCCGTAAGCATCTCTACAGTTTGAAGTCATTTAAATATGATATTGATATTGACTGTCCCTCCAGAGACACATAATTCTTTATATTCATAAGTTGCTACTTGATGTATATGTATAGCGTGTACGCGTGGAGCTTAATATTCGACAATATTCCAATGTAGGCTGATATTTAAACGAAATCCTGTCAATTTCAACCTTGCCTTTTATCTTTACAATGTTTCTAGTGCTTTCATCTATATTCCCGTCCAAATATCTTACGTTAAAGCATTTTCAGCAAGTACCGCTTATATTAGCTTTTAAACGACGTTTTCTTGTATATTGAGTCAGTATTCAATACGCTATTTATAATCACCTGTTTGGGGGTTATGTGAAATGGTCCACATAATATTGAGACTTAAAATATTTTAGTTATAATACCGTATCGCACTTTAGACGCCGCTTTGGTTTGGTGTTTTAAAATCTTTTAATACTAGTATAACATGACCATGGTAGTTCATTATTAGTTTGAATCGTGCATTGTAATGGCGCCCTTATTGATTTGAAATAAGGTGTTATTTTCAATGCACAGAAATTTTATCGGTCTCGCTTTAACGGCAAATAAACAATAGAAATTATTTCAAAACGCTTAATTCTAATCTAGATTTTGAAGTGATTTATCATTATCTATCATTTTACTTTACGGTTTTTCGTTAAATATTGAACATGACTCAAGTTAAATACTAATTGTTATAAGCTCGTCAAAAAATTTATTAAATGATGACAATTGTTATAGTATAAGATCCCGATATACAACGACCTTCACCGAGATGCTTATTTAATGAAACGTATTTTATATTTAATTTAATATGTCAATAAATATAATCCATATGGGTTGCCTAGCAAATTTCAGTCCAGAGTATGTTTAATTAATATTTTAAAAAAATATATTTTTTTATAATTTGCATGTAGTAAATTTTTTTCAATCAATATTTTTAATCAGGGTAGTATTATATATGTATCACTATAACTTTCTTTTTTACTAAAGATGTATATATACTTTAGTGTCACATAAAAAATATACACATAAATAATTAATTGATTAAAAACAACCTAACGTTTGCATATTCTATGGGCTTCATACTTTCGATTGGTATAGAATTTATCCAATAATCATACCGGTGAAATGTTTAAAAAAATTTTTTTTTTTTAATATTAATTTAAATACTCTGGACTGAAATTTGCTAGGCAACCCATATGGATTATATTTATTGACATATTAAATTAAATATAAAATACGTTTCATTAAATAAGCATCTCGGTGAAGGTCGTTGTATATCGGGATCTTAGACCATTATACTTGATTTTTCGTCTATTCCAACGCTACTATCTATGTAGAATAATTCTCAAAACGTTATGTAAATAATTACTGCAATAATTTTTCATATTAAGTAGAATTTAAATTAGATTACTTTTTAACTCTATAATGTACAATGTACATTTAAAAACTGTAGTTAGCGAAATTACATTATAATCATGTGTTGACGACATATGATCATTTTAATATACTGTATAATATGTAAATAAATGTTTAAGAAAAACTGCGAAATATGATTTTCTTCCGAGGTACAAATATAAATTAACCATGTTGAAAACTATAATTAAACAAAAACATGAACTTTTGTATTATTTATTTATTCCTTCTCTAGATCTTTAATAATCAGAGTGCATCAGCCATGAACAGACAGTAAAAGTAAATTTATTTAATTTTTTGACGTTCATAATTAAGTAAGTCGAATTTAAAATATGTATAGTCCTTTTCACGAAAGAAGTCCCCAGACGCGGCGCTGCAATCGCATGACGTAATGTTGCCATTTATGAGTAAAAAATTTACCTATTTTATTTACATTTAGCAGATGTAATTTATCAAATAATACTATTTTCTGCGTACTTCGATGAAACAATATATCTGTTATGTAAAAAGTATATTTTTATTTACTTATATTGCGGTGTTCTACCTACTTACAGGGAAAAGATAAGAAAATAGGGTAAAGAAAAGCAATACAATTGTTTATTCAGAGTTTTATTGCATAATTGTGATCAACGGCCATAGGGACATCACTGTCCGAAGAGTGTATTGAAACAGAATCAGATTCTGTTTCAGTATCACTAGCAGTTGATATAATTATTCGGTCCATCACTTCATCCATAAGGCCGTCATTTTTTAAATATTCCTCCTCTAAATGTTCGACATGCGAGCACTGAGCTGTCCAATCTTCAGCCGTAATAGACTCAAAGGCCTCTTTAGTTAATTTTAATATTTCTTTTGGATCTTGTGCCACGTTCTTATCCGCCACCTTTCTTTTACAAGGCTCCAGATATTCTCAATCGGGTTGAGGTCACAATGGTAAGGCGGCAACCTTAATACTTCGTGTCCGTGAGCTGTTAATAATTCATCCACTGCAAATATCGGTGGACCTTTATTTTGTTTGATTAGCTCATACAGCACAACTTTTGTCCAGGTGTCTTCAAAATATATACCCTTTTGCCGGAGCCACTCTTGCATACTACTTTTTATATTTGACATAGAAGGGGCTTTGTTTAATTGAGTGCAATGGTAAGGAGCGTTATCCATTACCACAAGCGACCTTTCAGGTAGATTAGGTATTAGTTTTTCCGTCACCCATTTTAAGAAATTTGCTGAGTTCATGTCATCGTGGTAATCTGAGGACTTTGATTGGGATTTGAACATTAATAATGCACCATTTATGAATCCATCTTTTGTTCCCGCATGAGCGATTATCCAGCGACTCCCTGATGATTCTGAGACGAACATTCCTGGCTCCTCCTCACTCTGCCAACAACGTTTTGTATGATAAGTATTGTGTATATAGGTCTCATCTAAGTATACAACTGGTCGTTTTTCCACAGTGCGATTTATTCGTATTTTATTCAAATATCTTGCACGCCATGCGGTAATGTCGTGGCGTTCCATAAGTAGTTTTCGTCTGGATTGACATCGCTTGTACTTGAAACCAATTCTATTTAATATCCTGTGCAATGTTGTGATGCTTCCCTGATAATTGATGTCCTCTCGCAGAGCTGCCCGTAATTTAACCAATGTTGGTAATTCTTTATGTACGACGTAAAAACTGTAAATTTTTTGCCGGATAGCGCACAAATCGAACCCGTCTAAGTCGAACTTTTTCGGATGCGGGCGACTCTTCCCCGGGGTTACAATTTTTTTTGAAGTACACGCCGCTGTTACACCTTCGTTTGTAATTCTTGATACAGTTTTCTCTGACACACCTGCAATTAAATTATGAACAATTAAAAATAATAGTAACTTTAAGTTTATAATGCTTATGTAATATATGTTTTAATTTCAGTTACCTAGTTTCATCACGTTATGTATTTGTTCAATTTTGTCGTAAAAACGAATTTATATTATCATAAAACTCCCATCAATACAGCAAAAAATTATTAAATGGCAACTCTAAAAAGTACCTGTTATGGCGGCAACTCTCTTCCGAACATTGTTTAGTGGTATTAAAACACCTTTATTCTTTTGTTCCGCTTCACAGAACTCTTTCACCTTTAATATCAATTCTCGAGCCGAACTTTTTACAACTTTTGGCATTGTAATCAATATTTAAAATGCACTAAGATAGTTAAAAATTCACAAAAATCTACCACAACAAACGAACTTGATAACATCGACGAATGACAACATTGCCGACCTGTCAAATTTAGTTCCAAAAATATCCGCGGGACTTCTTTCATGAAAAGCACTATATCTGGAAATCTCAGTCTGATATATATATATATATAATCTTGACATAGAATACATAAAATTTTCCGCGCTTCCCGCTTTTTGTACTTAGACATATTAAACTACGCACAGAACGGTGCAAAAGAAAGTTTTATTTGTCGTAGCCGGCGGTTAATATTGTTAATGGGCATTTCTGAACAAAAACAAATTATAATTCAAATGAGAAATTCAACTGAGAACTAATAAGTATCTCTATAGTTCGATATTCTGTCTTTTATTTAGTATTATTAACATATGAACTATAAAGGTACCTTTTTAAAAATTACATTGAACAAAGAATTGAAAAAGAAACATTATCAGAAGAAAACATAACAGTGCCATCTACAATATTCCTCACAGAGCACTGTATAATTCCTATAATTTATTTATTGTACAGTGTGTGAGAACACTAGAAAACAAAGATGATTTAACCCCGCCGTGTCCAAGATTTACTGAAATGTCCAGTTCTATTCAAAGCTATTTACTATTATATAAAAAACACAGTTGAGAAAATTTAAAGCTCACCATTGTTTTATATTGATTGTATTTTATGTTAAGTTAGTATAGTTATTTGTGTAAGATATTTTGTTATACCTTTTTTTAAAGTGCCAATGGACTTTGTATCCGGCTAATAAATAAATTAAAAAAAAAAAAAGATGATTTAATTCACTGTCTGACCATCATCATATAAAGTGTCAAATGCAGTCTGTACATCTCTATATATATTTTCACATTAATTAAGTCTGATCAATAGCTTGTCAGTAATATGGTCCTATGAAGAGTTATAATATAATATTTTGCTAACTAAGAATCTTCCAATAAACCTTACTTGTTGTTTGCTTGTAATATTTCAAACTAAATATGTCAATGCCATTGAAAGCTTTATTTTATCTATATAGTGTAAGTTAAAATACTTTTTTACATTGTACATAATGTATTAAAGAACATACACTGACACAAAGTATGTGAATGTAAAATAAATACAAATTTTTTTTGAGAATGTTAAAATAATGCAACTTGATATTAATTAAACATAATATTTAATTTCTATTATTTAATATTTAGATTGTTCTAGGTATATTGAAACTATAAAATTAAGCCACAAACTGTAATGTGTTAACAATCTACTTGGTGGAGACTCTGGTACGACGGTTCCATGAGAAGTTGAGTCCATAGCTCTTTGTCTTGAATTCCTTCTCCGTTTTTGGACAATCAAGATACCACACCCAACCATTCTTTTCACAGTGCTCTATGGCTTCATCAGGGTTTGTGAATTGGAGTTTCATATTAGATAATGGGTCACCAGTGGATGTCCAACCCATGAGAGGATTCTCCCAACGCTGCCTTGTATCAAATTCCATTTCCCAATGGTGTATATTGTTGGTACCACTTTGCATAGCATTCTTTGGTGGTTGGTAAATACGAACTCTGCGGCATCGGACATGTTCGTCAGGTACTCCACTAATTGGTGATAGGTCTACCTATAATTGATACAAATTAATTAGGCACAAGTATTTTTATATAAATTTTAAGTAGACATGACAAACAGAAAAGTATCTTGGTAAATTGCAAGATAATATTCCTCTACTAAGTTAATTTCACAGGTTTAGGGGCCAAATCTGTAGAATAGAATAAATCGTTTAGGTTCCACTAGACTAAAACACATTATATTCCAATATACTAACCTTAGTTGGTACAGAAATATGTGATTCATACAGCTGCTTCTCCTTAGCTTCTGCGGGCAAAGCTATTACAGTTTCTGTGTCAATTTTTGGGGCCTCCTTCCGTGTTGTAGGATCCTTGCTGGCAAATCGAGACGAAGACGTTGAAAACACAGGAAGTGACCTAATGAGATGTATTAATTTATTATATATTAGTCTAATCGAGATAACAATACAAGATTTTAATAATTTTTTTCCATATTACCTTGATAATGTAGGCATGGAAAGCCTTGTCGCTGTTGACATAGCTTTAAGCATGTTTCAAGTGTTAATCTACCTTTTTAAAATACTCTTGTTGCTAAATTTTGTGATTATCCAACAATTTCCATCGAAAAATTCACTTTTCAAATGCAAATTGTAATATGTCAATTTTGATCTTTGTACAATATATCAAAAGATGAAGAAGGTATATTTGACGTTTCAGTGTAACGTTAAACAAAGCCGTCACGATGACTTACAAAGTGACCTTCATTTATTTGAATAATGACAAATGTCAAGTGAAAAATTCAAATTAAACCCTAAACTTTTGAGCTCCAAGGTGATTGATAATTTTGCCGAATATAATTTTTTTATATTGCATGAACGGTTTTGATTCCAAATAATTTTAAAATCAAATGTATCTAAGTTTCAACCGTTTCACGTAAATTATGGTGTCATATTACTTATTCAGTGCTCGTAAATTTTGTGCAGCTGGTTACTTGTAAGGGTATGTTTATAACTTTATACACCAATTCTATTTTTATACATATTTATACATAAAAGCCTTATAGCGAATTATATTTTCCTTGTCTCTGATATATCTTCTTACACGGATTATGTCGGAGTTAATTTATTATGATATTTCCTTGCAGTTTGCCATCAAAACAATTATGTCGTGTTAGAGAAAGGGGGACCCTACAGGGGTCTGGCGAAGCCGACCTCTGTCATTGATTTGCTCATCTTAGATTAAAAGTGTCATATCTACATCGTACCTGCTAATTAGTCTACATACAGTTCTTATACTATTATATGAGGAAATAATTATTATTTAAAATGAGTAAGGCATCTGAAGCTGATTGCACAATTAAGTGTAAGTCTAGAAGTCACGGCCAGATCATAACAAGTGCTATCACTAAGAGATCTACAAGTGATGTATCTCTTGCAAGTTTTATTAGAGCAACTTGCAACAATTTCACTAAGGCTTTTGATTTTGAGGTAAGAGTATTCATTTCCAATTTAAATAGTATCTACATTATAGACTACAACTGGTCATGCAAACAAATTAGTTTATATTATATGACCAGTTAATGTGAAGCAACAATCTATTGTACTTCTATTAAGTGACCCTCTTAAGGTCTCTACTCTGATTCAAGGGCCGCACAGCTCTACATATGGCTGCATCAAGAGGTAGAAACAATCTTATGCAATGGCTTATAAATCATTCATCAGAAGCATTTGTGAATGCTAAAGACAGGGAGTCTGGGTACACACCACTACATAGAAGTATATTTTATGGACAAGTACATACTGCTGTTGCTTTGATGAAAATAGGTAAACTTAGTTAAAACAGAAATTAAATCATTATAAAATAGTTTTTTTTTAAATGTAATTAAAAGTTTTGCAAAGTGTTATATATATATATTATTGTTGGTTTTTTACTCACTTATCTTTTAACCTTAACTATATTATTCTATTAGAGAATTAAAAACTTATTAATGCTATCCCACAAACAAAATTATTATTCAAATGGATTTTAGTTATGATTTTAAAAATATATTCTGATTTTTATCCTAAAGAGTATAATTTCAGGAGTATACCCAGATATTTTAGACAAAGATGACTACAAAGCCTTAGAGCATGCTATGCTTGACCGACAATACATATGTAAAGTTGGGAATGAAATGCCTGGTGATGTCTATGTATGGGGAAGCAACACTAACTATACATTGGGTACTGGATCGCAGCAGTCAAAAAATGTGCCAGATCTCCTTTCTTGCTTCAGTAGAAGTAATGAGAATGTTAAGCAAGTGAGTTTTAGGCTAATGTTTCAATGAAAAACTGATTAATTCTTACACTACAACACTTAAAATCTTAATAAAAAATATACCCGAGAGGGGTAATTATAATTATATTTCTTATTATAGCTGGCTTTCCTTGACTGGACATTTGTTTTAAATAAACAAACACTTATGTTACTTAGGGAAATTGTAGCATTCTAATGGTTAAAGATTAAAATCACTCCTGTAGTTTTTGAGTTTTTTTACTGAAATACAAATCTATGACAACTGGGGCTTCCTGTGTCATAAATTATGCCTATAAGAAAAACATGGCATGCTACAATCAATGGGCGTGTTTGGCCGAAGTAAGTACTTACTAAATTTAGTAAGTCACTACTATGCTTACAAAATTTTCGGCCGGGACACAAAATAAGTGCTAACGCAGTATGTATGGCTTGATATACGACGCCATTTTGCTTATTGTTGATGTAAACAAAACGGACAATAAAATATCCAATAAAATATTTCTCATAAAATTATCCATTTGAAACTATTCACAGGTATTAAATTATATTCCTAAATTTAGTACTGTCAATTATATTCAGTCTATGAGGTTATGTACGGGATATGACATAAACCGGTGTTTTGTGTTATGTTAATAAGCCAGTAAGTCTGTCCTGGCCGAAAAGCGCTACAGTCAGCTTGTAAGACTTTAATTTTTTTATGCTTACTGGCTTACTAAGTTTAGTAAGTACTTACTTCGGCCAAACACGCCCAATATTCACTTGTAAAAAAGTATATAGACACCTTCTTGATAAACTGTTCATGACATATGTCACCGTGACATTAAAAATGAGGATCATCAGACATTTGTAATGTTTTTAAATCTTTTTTTAAATTAAAATGCACTCAACTGGGCTACCACGAACCTGTCTTGGCTTCACCAATTTACTTTTCTTTATATTTGGTAGTGTTGGATTGCTGATTTGTGTCTGGTGTGCAATAAACACAGAATTTTTTAAGGATGTAAATTATACAATTACCAAAAGCTCCTTCGTATCAAGTATAGCCAACTTCGTGAACTTAAAACTATGGCTTACTCCCATGACGACAATTCTAATACCAATCGCTGGCTTGGCTATGTTAACATCGTGTTGTGGGCTCCTAGGAGCTGGTTGCAGGACCAAATGTGCGATAAAGTCATACATATTTCTTGTAACGGCGTTATCGTTATCAACTTTTTGGCTCTTCTTCGTATTTGGTGTCCATAATATATACACAGACAATGCGAAAACAAGGAATTATCTACGATCAACGTTAAAAACTTACTATGGCAAAGAAAATGATTTTATAACTCATATGTGGGATTATGTTATGGTGGAATACAAATGTTGTGGTGTAAACAATTATAAGGACTTTATAGATTCAGCGTGGCAAAGGAATAATATGGATAAATTGTACCCTATACATTGTTGTGTGATGGATAAAAACTTAGTCCCAGTATCGAAGGCGTGTACCCAAACACTAGATGTCCAAGCATATGCCCATATCGGGTGTTTTGATGCTTTACGGCAGTCTATTAAAGATAACAAAGGATTGATTATATTCTATATATTTCTGTTGCTCATATCGTATACTGCTGTGATATTTTTCGCATTTTGTATAATTCGCGGTGAACCGCTATTGGGTATAGCAGAACCGGTGTCTTTTATCCCAAAACACATAGACAACGTGGAGAATATAACTCCAAATTCTTCGCTCGATAACATGATGTTTGTTGAAGAACCACCGAAGAAGGTAGTAAGAGTCGTCTCGGCGATCAACCCAGCACAAACATACAAGTTCACGCCGAATATGTATAGCGGGAATTATCCTCAGACTATAAGAAGTCATACTTTACAATAAAACGTTAAAACTCTGTTTTCGTTTATTTATAGAATTTTCAATTATTTTTAAAATATTGAGGACCATACGAGCTAGCTTTCTAAATTACTCTTGAGTGGATTTCGTGTATATTCGCAAGATTTTATTTATTAATTTATACTTCATTGCCATAATACACATAATTATACATATAAAAAACAAAAAGTAAGTAGGTCGGCCGGCCTTATCGCTAACAAGCGATTTCTTCCAGGCAACCCTATTATTATTAACCCCTATTTTGTGTTTATGTCATAGATAGAGTGCGGTATCACATGCTAGCTGATGCCGATCACAAATTTTATAATTATTAGGCGCGTAATATAAAATTAATTTAATTCTAACAAGCATTAATTTATCAAGTCACTACTGTTATTTTTGTATGTAATAGGAGGCTTACCTGATGTTAAGTGATATCGCCGCCCATGGACACTCACATTGCCAAGGTCGCAAGTATTATTAGGACCGCTAAGGATGTACAATGTACATATATAACTTATAACGCCCCAGGCCTTCGAGCCAGCCTGTCAGCGGTTACTTAAGGCTGGTTGAGGATCCTTTAGGTTGGGGGAACTGTTCACTATCCTGCCTCCACATTTAGATTTAAAATAATGCTGTGTTAGGTTAGCTTTTTGACACCACATTACAAAAATTTAATTTAAAACAATTACGAAACAACGTTCACACAATAAATTTAATTCATACAATTATTTTTATCCCACGAAGCGTAGTTATAATTCCCATTTACAAGCTCCCTATATTTACCTACTAATAGATTTATAAAATATTCAGTATAAACTCTATATAACGATACTCAAGGGACTGTGCCTATTTTAATGTTACAAAGGGTTGCCGGTAAATGGAAAGAAAAATCTGTATTAGAAAAAGAAAGTTTATTTCAGACTAGTGTTATTAATTACATAAAAACAGTTCTTATTTGAACGTTATTGCGTTGTCTGTTATTTTTGTACTGTATCAGTAGATAGGTTGTATTATTTTACTAATTTAATTCATATCTTGCGATATTGAGGTATCTTCGTGATAAAACGAAGTCGAGTTTATTTTCTGCTAGGACAATAAAGCGTCAAAACAACGTACACAGCTACGCAGTTTTAACTAATTTCGGCAACTAAAAAAGTACTTTTTAGTATTTAGTTGCTGTCGTAATTGAGAGTGGGTGTAATGCTATGATTTCGACGTTAAATCGAGGGACGTTACATCGACATTTACACTGTATACAGAAAGTATTAAGTATGACATATTGATTTCTTTGAGTAAAATCTAACTTTCAGGTTTGCTTAGGCAAATTCCATAGTGTATGGCTTTGCGCATCTGGGTCCGTTTGGTGCGCCGGGCAACCGG